ACAACTTTTGACCTGTCTATGACAGACAATGCAAATCTCTTAATTCTGTTTTAGTAAACTTTGTAATGGGAAATAACAGTTTAATAACTAATAGTCGTACAATCCATAATCAACGGATCGACCAATCCATAATCAACCGATGATATAATAAATAAAACTTTAGTTATTTTAATGGAGTTTGTTTGATGTTTTTTGATTTGTTAGCTGTAGTTTTTTAGCTTTAGCTCAGTTAAAAATGCAATTTAAAAGTTTATAATAGTCCAACATGACCAGAAAATAATTTCTATTCAAAGTTGAGCGTTGAGTGAAACTTGTGTGATGCAAGTGTTTTGGTTTTAGTTATTTTTAAATTTCATGATTCGGATAATTAATTCAAACTTAATACTTAAAATATTGTTTGATTCTATGTCCCTTTTAATGAATTTGCCTAAGGCTTCCCAGAACATCCCCAGCTCTCGCTGAGCCATCATATTAAAAATAATACCGATTATCATATTTTTGAGACATGGTAAATATTTTTAAAAAATTTGTTTCATATATTCATATAGAAATAAGGAAAAAACGTCATTATTACACATCCAGAGGAAGAGCTTATCATTGCGTCCGATAACACTGGAAAATGTTGCAAACATTTTTTATCACGTTAAATTATTAGAAAGACGTGATTAACCTATATTTGTGAATCAGAATATGATTCCCAAATATTTCGTCCCACTTCTATCCACTTTAGAAGTTATTTATATTTGAATAAATTATTCATGTCTTTGTAAAAAATATAACATTCGTTTTTGACCTCAATTATACTAATTTATTGTGTTAATATAGATATGTATAATTATTATTGAAATAAAATAGTAGTTAGGAAAAGAACCCTTGCATTATTATATACACTTACTTATATGAATGAAAACGTGTTTATCAAAATTTTTTTAAAAATTACACAAAGTAAAAAATATATATACAAGCAACAACACATAGACAATGGAAAATTCCGTCTGTCGAGGTCTGTGTGTAATTAATAATAAATATTCATCACATTTATAACTAAAATAAATGAGCAATAATATATCTACAGTATTATTATGTTTTTATACATCCATTCTAGCAATTTTCTTTTTCACTCTCTCATCTGTTTAAAAAGAGTTTTCAAAAAACAAACATTAATACATCACAAATCCAATAAATTCAACTATAATAATAATCATCAAACACAATATAACAATAAAACAAACGTTACAATAAATAAACACGATATTGTATCAATAGTTTACTATCTGACTAATTGAGATCTTTGCAATGTGGCCTGTTGTACATAATTGCTTAAGGCTTTCCAGTTAGAACCCTTTAAGAAACCAAATAATTCTTCCGGGGAACAGGTCCGCTGCCCAAAACATTTCTCTCTTAACTCACTGAACATGTGGCAAGTCCCAAAAAAGTAAATGATATCCTCTTTTTCTTGAGAGTTACATACAGGGCAGCAATCGTTGTCCACCACCATCCATGGTTTTACACTTAAATCTAGCAATTCTGTCCTACATCGAAAAATTGACCCTATAGTCAAAATATCAAAACTATCATTAAGATAGGGTGTAACAGTACCCACTGAACATAGTCCAGCGTAAAAAGAAAAACTTGAATGAAGACATTTTTGAAGGTTATTTTGTTTTTCTAAGTCCTCAACACTATGTCTAACAACAGTCAATTTTCCGCGCAGACCAGTGATATTCGCATTATCAAGATTAATTTTGCAACCATCCTCGAATTCTGACCACTTTCGGTACCTATAAACTCTCATAGCTATCACCTCTTTCGCTAGGATATGTGGCAAACGAAAACCCGGCATCTCCAGCACTTTCACTTTCACTTACTTATATATGTAATATATTGTAAGAAAAAGTATTGCGATCGTGAAAATGTTTGAATCTGGCTGGGAAATACACGTTTTGAGGTCCGCTGAGTCCAAATGACCAAGTCTCGATAAACATAAAGTGTGTGTGTATGCGAACAGTCTAGCTCAAAAACGAAAAGTCGTAAGAAACTGAAGTGACAGTATATATCATCTATTTTACACATTTTTACTATTTTCTCAATAACGACTATAGCGATTTTGATTAAACTCGGTATATCAGTGTATTATTAAGTGTTTTTTAATATCAGCTAGATATTATCCATATTGATGTTCTCTTACGGGGCTCAAATGCCCTATATTCAATATTTCTTCCTCCAAAATACCTTTAATTTGATTTATTTTAAATAATCAACTATCTCTTATTGATAGCAATTATAACTTTTGAAAGAGTTTGATAATTTAGGATATATTTGAGAATTGAGGATAAAAAGTAGAAAAGAGGAAAACTGCTAATTTAGCTCGAAAATGAATCTCCGGAAATATTAGTCAGAAGATATGAGCATAATATATCATTAGAAAAGTAGAAAAGCGAGAGTGATGAAAAAAATATAAATAACAATTACTGAAGACTGTTATGATTTAACAGTAATCACATATGTTTCCAACGAAATGTGATGAACTTTCATCACTAAATGTAAACTTTTAAAATTATTCTTATTTTGAAAAAAAGCGTCTAAAATTAACCGAATCAAATTAATGATATTGTTAAAATAATCTGTTGCGCTCAACACACAACTTCCACTTATTGCTGTACTTCGAAAAGCTATTCTTGTCTAGCAAAATTGGGTTATGACATGAAATTTTTGAAGCGTATTTTTGCTGAAGCTAAACATTGAACAATATATTTTTGAATTTTGGTCATATTTATCAATTTGAAAACTCATTAGGACCATCAAAATAACATAAACCCTATATATTATATTCATTATAGACAATAAAAATCTTATACCTACATCAATATATTTGAATCACATAACTCCAGTCTTTGAGCTCTATAGATAAAGTGTGATTTCAAAGTACATGTATTAAATTATGAAGAAGTAAGGTCATACTGCATAATAAAAATTATAGGAATTAAATTTCTATTACATTTTAAATTTATTAAAATTCTTACTTTTTATCCTTGGCAAATTTAAAAGAAAAAAGTTACTTGTTTTTAATTACAGCATCGAATTAGATCGAAAGTCGTAACACTGATTGTAAATGTTTAGTGTGATTTCACTAAGAGAATATGTTTTTTAATTAATCAACGATGAATACCTAATTGTTTAAATATAATATCTAGAGTTATTAAACTACATTAAATTTATTTAAGGATTTGCTACAAAGTGAAAGTAATGTGTTTGCATTTGGATTCGTTTAGCTTAATGTGCCATTTCTTCCAACAGTGTTCAATCAGGGAGAAGTGCATTTGTAGGTTAATGATGCTGTTTTAGGATCTGAGTTGGTTCAATGGATGGCGGTACCATCAGCGAATGTTGCCAGGAGTGTATCGGGATGGACAGGGATATCTATCGTAAAAATAATGTAAAGGATGGGACCCAAAACGCTGTCTTGCTGAACTCCCGCCTTAATTGAATAACAGTCGGAAAATTCAATTCTGCTTTCAGTGGCTCTAAAATAACATGAGAAACTCGTGTAGGTGGGTTGAATATTTCAAGGTGTTTAGTATTGAGTGAAATGGAACAGGAACGAGGAAGTATCTGAACCTGTAAAAGCATCTTTGTTCTTTGCTATAAAATATTCAACCAAGGAATTTTTTTTTGAAACAGAATTAAACTGCTGGACTAAATTTAAATCCGAACATCAAGGAAGACCCAGTTACATACTATTTCCATTTAGTATCATAAAATAAACTTTCCCTTTATATGATACGATACGGTACTTAGTAACAGAAGAAAATTATCGATACCGTACTCATGTCGATAGTTATCGGACAACCCTATTACTTTTTTTATTTTTTTTTTATTCATTGATATTTACAACTGTATTACAAAACAAAATACAACTAGTAAATGTGTACACAGTAATAATACAATCACATGAAAGCGCTTGTTGAGAAACTAACTATTAGTAGCACTCCAATAATATATTTACATAAGTAGATCACGAGGCCATCTTCTTTTCAGAGGCCTCGGAGGGGAACCCTAATACTAAGTCGGGAGATTGATCCCTTGGTTTGTGCTATCCGTTCCTGCGGAGTGTTAAGGTTGATCCCTTGCCACGCAGGCCAAGAGTGATTTGGGAACTGATCCGACTGACACTTGAGGTCATCCTGTCTATGCCTCTTCCGACATCCACTAAGTCATATTATTCCTAAATTAAATACGCTGTGTCGAGACCTTTTGGTAACTGTATTAACTGTACTATACCTCGACAGAATTATTAAATACATGATTACAATTGAAAATAAAACTTAATTTTATACTTGATTCACTATAAATACTATAAATATAGCAAAAACGTGACACGAATACCTGATTACAATCGTAATCCGATACCTGATTGTAATCACGTAATCAATATCAGTGTAATCGTAATCACAATTACCGTAATCGTTGATTATTGTTATGTCCATGTATACCATCAAATAATTTCTATTCAAAGTAGAACGATAGATGAAAATTGTGTGATGCGTCAATAGATTTTTTATGACCTCTACTGCGGACCATCTCTTTCTTCAAAATTTTATTACGGGCGTTGAATATTCAATAATTTTTATTGCACTTATTTCTGTTAATGTCAAAATTTTCAATAAATATTAAAATTACCCTGAAAACATTTTTTCTTAGCTCAAAACTTGTATAAGTAAGAGCAATAGGAAACTAAAAAGAAATTAAATAGTCTTTACAATAGAAACTTCAAGTTGAGCAGTACGAAACGTTTTAAAAATAAAAATAATAAGAATGATGGGTTTTATTTAACTTTTGAAAATGAATAAGAAGCAATGAATTTCAATATAATTCTATTGCTTTAAATTAAAATCATTGCAGCTAGTAAATCTTATATTCAAGGAATACACGATTAATAAACGAAGTCTGTAATTTGATAAAATAAACCAACTTGTTATGTTTAACCTCTTTGGCCAAGTTCTGTTTCCTCCATTTTCAAACCAAAGGGTTTCAATTTCGGTTATAGATTATGTATCAGACAATTTGTTTCTTGATAATTTACCAACTAACTGATATTAGTTTATTTTATACTTTTGAATTATAATTCTGTTTATTTATTAAAAATGTTGTGACAACTAGAACCGGCCCTAATTTTGAAAAGATATTGTTTAATATTTGACTTTTCTGTCTTACAGCTATTTGTGTGAGTATTTATATCTTTGTTTAAAAGATGCTGACTGACCATTAGTGGTGTGATAAAAGATTTAATTATATTAGGTCCTATGCCACATTTCATATTACTTTCTTATATAATATTTTTTAAATAAGGACGTATGAAAAATACAAGCTGCTCTAATTAATGGTGTTTAGTATTTGTACTTATGTATTTCCTGACTATTTTTAATCCTTACAATTTTAACAGTCAACTATAAATCAATCTCAAAATTATTTTTAAATTAAGTTAAGTTTGGTGAAAGTTTTAGGACATAGATATAAAAACGTCATAGTTCAGTAATTTCTGTACCAAGAATTTATTTATAACAATAGGGGGCACCTCAACCTGTTAAGGGTCATTTTAGCCCTTACACAGTATTTATATTAGATCAGATTAAATTTAACAATAATCTCCAAAAAAAGTCAGCAAAATTTTAATTTCGTTTTATAGGTCCGTTATTTGAAGGAATGTAAACAACTTGTTTGCTGACTTAGTGGTATTTTTCAAAATTGCAGTAATATCTTTATCCAATTCAACTTTATTTAGTTGTGCTTCATATGTGTAACATTCAGTCAAAATGTGCCTAATTGTTAAATTGACCCCGCAGCAGAGACACTGAGGGGGTATTCCCTTTGTCATTAGAAACTCATGAGTTAGCCGTGAGTGGTCGATTCGGAGTCTTGTCAGGATTATTTCTTCTCTTCTATTCAAATCGAGAGGGTATCCCCTTTGTCATTAGAAACTCATGAGTTAGCCATGAGTGGTCGATTCGGAGTCTTGTCAGGATTATTTCTTCTCTTCTATTCAAATCGAGGGGGTATCCCCTTTGTCATTAGAAACTCATGAGTGGTCGATTCGGAGTCTTGTCAGGATTATTTCTTCTCTTCTATTCAAATCGAGGGGGTATCCCCTTTGTCATTAGAAACTCATGAGTGGTCGATTCGGAGTCTTGTCAGGATTATTTCTTCTCTTCTATTCAAATCGAGTTCCGCTCAAATTGGAACTGCAGAGGGCTCGATCACTCTCAACTTATTGTCTCTTAAAACATGCCAGTGACCCTGCCATTTCTCCAGAGTCTCTTTACCAAAGCTACTACTTCCTTTGGAGGAAAAGCATTCATTCATTGATAATCAGTCTATTCTTAGTTAATTTCCCTATTGTTCTGTGGTTATATATATATATATATATATACCAGCTGATGTTTAACCTGCCCTGGACGGGTGTATAGTTAAAATTTGAGAATCTTTTTTTTTTAGATGAATTTTGTATTATGGGGGGGGGGAAGGAGAATCTAAATTCAATTTCTCAAAATTGGGTCGGGTTGTGGGAGGGAGTTAGTTTGAAATTTTTAATGGCGGGATTTATGAAAGTCAAGATTTCGCAATAGTCATAACAAGAACTTTCTTATTCGGCTATTTGTTTAGGTACCACACAACTAAACCGACCACCACCTATTCATTAAAATTTGTTAAGTGTTTAATTTTCATTTATGATGAAGCAAGGAGATTGTGGAGTGGATTAATTAATCAAAAAGAGTTGTAGTCTCTTCACTTCTTTGAACTCTGCTGAGTTTATCGCTGGCAAAATAACATTGGACATTGAGTCACCTACATCCGGGTAAAATTAGAACTTGATCTGAATATTGTAGCGGGCGGGATGAAATTTTTGGAATTTTTTTTTCCTTATTTCCGGCTAATCAGTTTGGCTAATCCTAGAAATAGATACAACATTTGTTAGGCTCGGGAAGTTGAATTGAATGACACCTTGAAAGAAAAGATCGGACATAGTTGAAAAATGAGTTTGTTTTACCCGTTTAATGTGACAACGCGTTACAAATGTTCGTTATTCCGGATTTTGGGAAAAAACGTGAGTTGTGATAATTTTTTCCATCAGTTGAGTAGTACAACTTTTAGATGTTGCTCGCGGTAGAGTAGGTTGGGATTAGAATCGAAGTAACTGCCTAACCATAAAAAAATTTTAAAAGTGGTTTTGGTATCTTTAATGTATAAAACGGAGAGATATCATGAAACGGGTTGATTCTATTCAATGTACAGACAAAACCTTTATTTTATTTATATAGATGTTCTTTAACCTATGGACATATGTTTATTATTAATATTTATTATCAACATTAACCGATATCTCTAGACAAATTACTCAAGAATCCATAACTTTGGTTATACTCAATATTTTTTTTTTCATTTAAAGCCTGTGTTTTAAGTCTAGCAAACCTTAATATAATGTCAAAATTTCAAAAGTCTACAATAGGCCATTGCTGAGCTTACCTCTGACAAAATTTTGTTGCAATGTGGACATACAGACAGACAAAGAATTTTTTAAAAGTGGATTTGATGTATAAAATGGAAAGATATCGTAAAACGGGTTGATTCTATTTAATGTACAGACAAAATCTTTATTTTATTTATATAGATACATAGATAGATTATAAATCATATTTTCATTATGTATTCTTTTTCAGGTACATGTAATTCTGGTGTTTCAGAGTTAATAGAAATGTCTGATGAAATTAAGTCTTTATGTAAGTTATTCTTTTTTAAATCTTTTGAATCTTTCATACTAAGTTCTGTAGGATCCTTTTAATGTTTACTGGATTTTAAAGGTTTATTATGAAATTGCATGGTAGAATATAAAATATTTAGAACTTCATTTTTTTAACTTTTGTATGTACATATACCTATATATGTATTATTATAGTAAGGGAAAGAATTGTGATCGTGAACGTTTTCGAATCCCTTTTGCAATGTAAATACACATTTTAACCTCTCCAGAGCCATAAAAAGCAAGGTTCAGGATAGTTTGTGTGTGTGCATGTGAACAGCCTAGCACAAAACTGAAATTACATATTTAAGGTAGATATGCTACAGCAATTGTTTCCTGAAAATTGGCTAACTGGAAGTGCCGTGCCACTTTACATCATCGATTTTAGATATTTTTCAAATCTTCTCGAAAACAGCTTTAACGATTTTGTTTAAATCATTGTAAAATTAAGGTGTTTTTTTTAAAATATGATATATGTCTTATTCTCATTGATGTTCTCTTACAGGGCTTAAATGCCTGATGTTCTTAGGGTTAAACTTAACAAACTTTAAAAAGTTTGTTATTCTTAGGGGACTAAAAGTCCCAGAATAAAATTTACTTTCTTCTTAAATGCCTAATTTTCAAAATATCTTCCTCTAAAGTGCCTTTAATTTTTTTTATTTGAAATAATTAACCATATCACATTGTAACCCACAAAAAAAAAAAAAGTTATTATATTATAAATATTAAATATGGAAGAATTTTATAATTAAACTAAAGGAATAAACAATTATAATAATAAGAAATAAGGAATCATAATAGAGAACCAAAGAATCCCGAGCTTAGGCGAAACATTAGAATATGTTTCAATACATAACACGTGTTTGATAAAATTTGGGCTCCAATAAAATTATTATTACATATACATGTGCGGTTTTCATAAATACTAGTGTTGGTATTATCTGATATTTAATTATATAGATTACAGCAATATAAAAATTAAAATGTCTATTTATAGAAATGAAAACAAACAAAAATAAAAATATCTTAAATGAAATATTAATAAATATAGCGGCCTTCTTTATCAGTGGCACTCTTGTTTGACTAAAAATATTTCATGACACTAAATTATTTATTATAATCAAATAAATAATTAAAATATACAGTCCTAAAAAGAAATAGTTAATGACAAAAAAAATCATAAATATAGTACATTAGACGGCTGTGAAAAAACATATGGTAATTAATTGTTTTAAATAATATATTGTACTCTCCTTAATTTATACTTTCACTTTCCTTTGCCTGAAAATACATATTTCTGCAAAAAAAAAAAAGAGTGATTAGTGAAAGTTGTGTGATGCGCACACCTTACCAGATTTTTTTGGTGTTAGCTCAATTTCGCTATTCCGAGGTGGTGGCTGGTTTATGATCACTCAGGGTATGCCACTCCCAGATTTCCGATGAATGTCAAAAGTAGCCAAATATTGACAATCCTGTTTACATCTTTCAGCCTGGACTTATAGTATTTGTTTAAGTTGGGTTATATTCCTTCCTTTCTATTATGTAAATGTGTTGAATAATACTATATGTAACCACGAAAATATCTGCCAAAACATAAGTTGATGTAGGTCGTTTGCCTATGATATATAGTTAAAATTGAGTTGAAATTCTCACTGCTCTCACCAATAGATACAAAGAAAATCGGTAAATAAAAAAAATTGCAGTTGAAATTCCTTTACTCACTGGTAAATATGCAGAAATGTTAAGTGAAGAAAATATGCACGATAAATTGAGATTATAGAAAAGATACAAACAATAGAATAATATTTTACAGAGAAGAATCATATGCCGATGACACATGTATCCTATCAGTAAATAATGATCCATCAATTGCATCCCAAATGCTTCAATCACTCATCATAAATCTTGAAGAATGGTGTCAAAATTGGAGAATTAAAATAAATCCCATCAAATACCTTTACCCTTCGTCGTAAACCAACAACTAACTGTCCTATAGTTTCCTTTAACAATACTCCACTTATCCCTGTTGAGCAAATTAGATACCTAGGACTCCACCTGGACAAGCGACTAACTTGGAATCCTCATACTAGACTGAAACGACAAGAAACCGCTCGACGTTTCCGATTACTTCAGCACTTACTAGACAAACGCTCTAAACTTCCCATTAATTACAAAAGACTCATATACTTGACCATAATAAGACCTATTTGGACTTACGGAATTTAGCTATGGGGCTCCACTAAACCATCGAATTCCTCTCGCATCCAATCCTTACAATCCAAAATCCTTCGTAAAATCCTCAATGCTCCTTACTTTGTCACTAATAAAATTATCCATAAAGATCTTAATTTTCCTTATGTTTCAGATCTGGCCCAATCCAGATATCTATCCTTCCATAATAAACTTCAGAATCATCCCAACCCTCTCGTTTCTAACCTTGCTTCCTCTTCAATTCCTGATAGCCCTCCGAGGCGTCTGAAAAGAAGATGGCCCCCTGATCTCCTAATGTAATCATATCATTAGAGTGCTACCATTGGGTAGTTACTCAGCAAGTGTATTCATGTCATTATATCTATTATGTCCAAATTTACTAGATGTATTTATGTAATACAGTTGTAAATGTCATTAAGAAATAAAAAAAAATAAAATAAAAAAAACAGAGAAGATTACGGTCTTAAATTTGTATTGTATTGTAAGGGATCAGTAGGCTGTATCTTCTTCCCAAAAGATTTGGGTATTTTCAGCAATCTTGGAGTAATATGCTCTGAAACCGGCTACCATCTTGGGGAAGCAAAAGAGAACTAGTATTTTAACTGGTGTGTTGGATAAGTTTCTAAATTCAAGGATGAGCTCATCGATGGCATCAGATCCATCTCTAAACGTGGCAAAACGATGTCATCAATTAACTCTGTGCCAAGTATTATACTTTCTCTGTTATACCAGTACTATACTTGCCCTAGTCTTCTCTCGATGTAAAATTTATTAATTTAGACCCAAGATTTATTTTCGCTATACAATTAAATTCAAAATTGTTCTCCTATAAAAGTTTTTGATGATGAATTAGTTTTATAAAAAGTATTATTTCAGTTTTAGTACCAGGAGTTCTATAGTCTGCCCTCAATTAGTGACAGGAGGTTCCTTATTAATCCTTGTAAAGGTTACGTATTGAATTTGTGGCCTGTGTAATAATTGATTTTATTTATTTGTTACTTGTTGGCAGGTGGGCTTACTCACGTGAAACCAGAACCACTCGACCCATATGAAGGTAAGGACTAGTTATTAACATTTCATGGGGCGTGCAGTCCTTAAACAATGTTTATTATGACTTTTACTGCCATATTGGCCTGACTATAGGATAATTCTTTCTGAAATTGTCCTCTGTAAAATGGATGTTCAACCTATTTTATCTCTAAATTCCCAAATTCATACCAAGTCATTTAGGGATAGTATTTGTTATAATAAGAGACTGGATTTCCATGTTATTACAATTTTTATTCGCTTGCGTGTAAAACCTCCGGACCCGAATATCTATCCGTATCAGGAACTGTAGAATAACATATTTAAATTTCATATTGCACGTTTTGCCGTTTTTGACTTAAATTGCACTATTTTGATTATTGTTGCATTAAATTGCACATTTTTGGACTTTTGTTCTAAATTAGACTATTTATAAATACAAATGTATAAGTGAGTGTGTTAATATTTATTTTTCTATGTTTTTCAAATTAAATTCATTATTCAAAATAGAAAAATATGAGCAGACAAATAATTCTGTGTGAAGCAAAAATCGTATTCATTACAAAAGGAAGAAGTAACCACAAGTGAGATCTATTCTTGGAATAGAACTTGCCTAAGGTATTGGATAATAGAAAGCTGCTTTCCTAGAATTAGCGGCTTTGTTAGTAAGACATTTATAATTATTGTTTTGGCTTGAATTCTCAACTCAACTCGCTCACCGTTCAACCCTTCAATATCTCTTCCGGCTTTGAATTGATTTGTAGAAATTTCATTCTCATTAAAAAAATTGATAATGCTGAAAGTAAAATCTAGTCTGCTGTAAAAAATTAAAATCTGGATATAAAAATACCCCAATTTGAAATGTGAGGACAAAGAATTTTATAAGAAAGTTCTATACAACTTATGAAAAATCGATCAGGTGATAGGAAATCATTGATAGACGCTCATTGAGGAACATGTAAGAAAAAAATATTCTTATCAAAGATTTGAAAGGTTTTTTTTTAAGAACGTACTCCCTAAAAATATTTTTTTTACTGATATAGAAAAAACAGCTTCAACAACACAAATATTTGAACACTTGAAAATTTCAAACAACGCGGTCTATTTCAATTTTTTTTTTTTTTAATTCTTTAAATTTTAACTAAAACGTTTTGGAATGTTTTATAAATTGGAAATTAAAACTATTAAAAAAAAAGTATTCATTATTTTTTTTTTAATTAAAGTTAAATATCTAAAATTGGTCTAGTCTATATAATATATAGGTACCTATAATTCCTGCCTTCGTTTATTCCTTCTAACCTTCAATGTTCTGCATTATTTGATAATATTCATTATTATAATATTTGATTATAATCTGGAATTTCATTTTCAATGTTACATTAATTTTTTTTTTTTTAAATCTCGTTTAACTCCAGGTCTGATAATATTTTGATGTATTAATGTTATAAATTAAATAATATTGATGATTTTAAACATGTTTAGGTGTTAATTTCACAATTTTACTTATTTTGTGTTTTTACTGTACGATTTTGAGTTTTTTACTGCACAAAAATCCGGTCTCTTAGTTATAATAAATGGTGAAGCCATTAGTTTCCAATGTTTATTGAACATTAAAATATTGTTATAAAAATATTTTCTGGCCCAATCCGTTGCCTTCAGGGATTCCTTGCCATCTAACATCCACCATGCCTTTGCGATACCATCATTCAAATATCCCCTTTTCCAATACCTTCTCACATCCCTAACAGATATTCTAAAATCATGAAATTACATTTTTCGAATGGAATTTTGTTAGAAGTAAATAATAGTTCTGACTTTTTATTGTCTTGACATCAAAAATCAATGTTTTTTCTTTTCTTCAGGTTTTGCTTTTTCTTTTTTATATGTGTATATTTATTATTTTTTTCATTACAATTATATTTATTCTTGAGAAGATTTTATTTTTAGCTTTTTGCCTAGTATTGTTTAAGTTTCTGTATATATTATTAGAATGGTTTTAATGTAATTTTTGGCCAGATATTTGTCATTATTGTTATTCTTTGAGAACTTCGTCCCAGAATGAAGTTTATTTTTCTCTTTATCTAATGCCAGAGTTCCTATAGCAGTATATTAGTTATGCATTATTATTATTATTTATTGTAAAGTACATTTTAAAATAAATATTTCTATTCAGAGATGACAAGGTAATGGGAAAAAAAAGGAAAGATATTTCTTGGAAGTAACAACACGTAGTAATTTTGCAACTTGTTATTTTGTAATAAAATATTTTCTTTAATTGTGTTGTTAAAAATATTGTTTTTACATATCTACAGATGGACTTTTTCACGTGAAACAAGAAAGAGAAATGTTTATCCCAGATGAAGGTGAGAAAATTTATTATGTTTGTCATTCTATGTTTTATTTTACCTTTGTCTATTTGTTCATCAAATATTTCTTCCATTTCCTTCACTTTAACCCTATATAGGGCAGAATTTCATCTATAACTTCATCAAAACTTGTACATGTGTCTGTAAGAAAGAGCCTTAGGTCTAAGATATTAAGGAATAAATTAATCTGCCCACTTCCTCTTAAATTTATTCGCCCATTATAATTATTTCTATATACTGCTTACTATTGTACTATAATTATTAATTAAATTTTCTTGCAGTTCTCAAAAATGGTGTCAAAGAAGAGGAGAGACATCAGATTTATTATGGTAAGAAAAATATTGAATTTGTAAATTATGTATATAGACAGGGGAAACCAGGAAAAGTGAGAGAATTTCATTATTCTGAAAAAGTCAGGAATACAGTTAGGAGTCAAGAAATTCTCTGATTATTTATTGTAAAAAAAAAAAATAATAAACTGAAAAAATTTTTAGGGAGTAAAGTTTTTGAATTTTTTGGTCGATAACAATGGCTCATTATAACCAAAAATATTCAAAACCCCAATATCTTTACTAACTGCCCTGAAACTTTTTTAGGAAGCTTATATACCTTTGAAATATGTAATTTTACGTCAGCAATACGTAAAAATGTTTGCTTTTTGAGTTATTCACCAATATAGTTCTGCGATCACCATAATATTTTCTCCAGCTTGTTTTCGGTGAAGTATATTATATACATAAATTGAAAGGGGTCCAAGGAAATAACTTTTGCTTGATTCGGCGGGCTATTTCCTTACAGCTCATCCCGTCCTTATCAAGTGAAGAAATCAAACAGTACTCTTCTTCGTACTAACATTTATTTTTTTCCCATAACTCACGTTCTTTTTAGGTCTATTTTGAAATAAATTCAACACTGAACTTGTTAATAACCTGCTGAAAGTTAATTGTAAATAACATTTTGGCGGGAATAGGCGAATAGCCTTCCGCTTTTATATCGGGGAACTAGGTTATTTACACTCGTGATTATTAAAACAAAACCCCGGCACTGGATATAGACTTTTTGAGGGTGTTTAACTGTTGTTGGAAATTCAGGAATCTAATACCTTTTGTGACATTGAGTAAGAAGAAACAATAAGAATATATATTTGAAATATGGGACTTAGTAAATACACTTTGAATGAATTGACTCACCTGGTTTGTTATTCTTTAATCGTGAGGCATATAGGACAACTAAATAAATAAATGACTTTTCACTTCTGTATAACAAAATAATTTATTTCTACAACTGTAATAAATTGACTCTATTAAAGTGTTATAACTATAGATCTTCTAAATCTTGTAGTAGACTCTCTTCCCAGGTATGTCGTTCCGCCTCAAATGCCTCTCCAGCTGTTGCTAGCTACCTGCTCTCCTTTTTCCAGCGTCCTTCTTCATCGATTGTTTATCAATATGAGACTTTTCCATTAATAATTTGTCCACTGTATAATTGAGTACAATTCACAGTGCAACCTCACATTCCTATATATTATTTATTCCTTCTCATTCCCTCACACAATGTCACATAAAGGAGTAAATACAGGGGGCTGTCTACTACAAACTGAAGTAGAAATGATATTTTAACGATTTCAACTCCAGAGGATTAAGAAAATAATAAACAACAATTGTGGCTATCATTTTGATGCAAATGAAATGTCAATATTTACTGATATTGGATTTAAATAATCCTTAAGGTCTGAGAAGATTGTCCACATTTCAATATCGTAATTTATAATTTAAACTGAGCTTAAAAAAATAACATCAATCAAAAATAAAGAAACCATGAAAAGTTTTTTTTTAATTTCTATGGGCGTGTCTTAACATTTTGACACTTAGTGTATCTTGTGTTCAGATTTAAGAAGTAAAATATTGATCGAGAAGGATACTTGAGTACTCACGTAAGGATACTATAGGATAAGCCCTCGGGTACTTAGGATAATATAGAACTGAGAGAACTACAAACCAGGGCTGGTCTACGTCAAATAGGTCTTGAGCGGGTACTATAATGGAGTGGTATAAGTTCACGAATAGCTGTGTCCATTTGAGGGAAATTGTTTTCAAAATATTAAATAAATATTTATTTATTTTTATAACAAATTAAATGCTTTGTTTAGAATAAAAATGTAAAATGTGCAATATAAAATCATTCTAAAATTAAAATTTTTTTTTTTAGTGGTGTACCCCAGCCTCATGTGACAAGAGCTTAAATAACACTATAAAGAACTAAACTTGAAAAAATTGGTTTTAATAATTTCTTCTTTTATTTTATTATAGTTCGCATGTACTAAATATTTGTTGACTAATGGTTCTTTTTGGAAAACTATAGCCCTGTAGCCAGGGCCCAAAAATCGACATCGCAGACGAAGTTTGATTGTAAATTACAAAAATGTATATTATTCTGAGTAAAAAGAACCTTGTCTACCGTTCTAGAGCCGCTGCTTTCAAAAATGACGACTGATTTAAAGAATATCAGGCCAGTAGAAGGAAATCCATGGCAAAAAATGTGAGAAAAGTTTTTATTTTTTTAACTTGTATATAAGTTTTTTTAATTTTACCTGTACCTCTACAACCCATGAAGGGTCTTGGTTTCAGTACTATTTAGGGAAAGCACTGTTTCTTGGTCTACGGTTGTGCAAGGTGATTTGACCGAGATCAAATTCAACCATCAGGTTTTTTCCCTTAATTAATTATTTTAATTAAGGGTACCCACTTTATAGAGGCTGGGTCTGCCCCAGGAGGCTCTACCTACCCAGGATCGTCCCACGGCCAATGAAACAATAAATAATTTTTCTGCTGTGTGCCGGGATTCGAACCTGGGGCCTTTAGCATTGGAAGCTCAGTACCCTACCGCACTCCCTATATAAGGTTTTAGGCATGTAAAAAACAAAATCGCTAACACAGGCCAACAAGGGAAAACTTTCTACAGCCAAAAAAGTCAGATTTTTTCCATATTTTTTGTTTTTTCAAGTATAACTCCTAAACGATGCATCATAGCGAATGTACTCTTTAGTAAATTAAAGTATTAATAAGTTAATAAAATAAACTTTCGTAATTTAACTATCATAACCCGAGCCTGCGATGAGGTCGATTTTTGGGCCCCGCCTCCAGAAATATTAGGAAAGAACGGATTATCTACTTTATTTTAAAACATTTTTCTGAATGTGAATAAAAATAACAATTTTAAAGAAAGATTCAAGGATTCTCAATATTTTATTATTGATAATTTACTGATGAAAATACTCTTTGTCATATATACGATTGTTAAAACCAAATAAATGACACGCTCCAATTCATTTTGTAAAATGCTGGTTAAAAGGGAGAAAAACCCCTTCTGCGGGAGTATCAGTGCACACCGATAGGGTGTGGGCACAACCCTCTGACCATTCCTGTTCATTCTATAATCTATGATTTAAGTCTACGATGAATTGATTAATTTTACAGTGTTAAAAATATTGTTTATATGTCTACAGATCCGCTTGTTCAAGTGAAACAAGAAAGAGAGAAGATTATTTTTCGAGATGAAATTGCCACAAGTGATATCAAAAACGAGGAAGGACAACAGATATATTATGGTGAGGAAAATATTGAATTTATATTAAACCTGTTCAAACTTATTATTGGGTTATTATTTTCAATAATGAACCATTGTAATCGACCAAAAAATTCAAAAACTCAATCCCCTCTCAACATTTTAGGTTTTATGTTTCAGGATAGGTAGAATTTGAAAAATGAATACAATTTTTTTGTCCATCCGCCATCCGCGCATTTTCTCCAAAACTACTGGACCGATTTTTTAAAAATATGGATATAAAATCAGAGGTCACCCGAGGATGATCCTCCTTCATCGACATTACTATCTGCCTTTTACTTTCAAAATGGTGGCCGAAAAACCTACATTGCTCCTAAATGAATGTACCGATTTCAATGAAACTTCGCTAAAGTCATTTTCTCGATGCCCTTTAAATTTATTTATATAACATACTTCAACGAAAAGGACCTGGAAAAAAAGTTACAAGGGGTGGTTTTTTAAAAGTTGACAAAATTTCTCCCAAAAAAAAAACCGTTGAAATCGGACAATTAACAGCAAAGATATGGTATCTAGTTTTTTAAAAATATATTCTGCTGCAAAGGTTATATCCTTTGTTTTGTTTTTTTAAATTTTGTATATGTTACAGAAGTAATGTTAATTTTTTTAGCATATTACTAATGATTAAAAAAACACTTTTAGTCCAATAATTGGAATCACCTTTTTTTTTATTTTTCTTTGTAACTAGGAAGGTAATGTTACTTTAGATGTATAATTGTTTGGAAATAATAAACCATTGTGAAATAATTTGCAGCGTTGTTTTTATTTTTGCACCTTACCTTATTTAAACCCAGAAGAGGGTCCTTAAGCTTTATGGATTGACTAATTGATAAAAATATTGTTTGTATATCTGCAGATGGGCTTGTTCACGTGAAACAAGAGACAGATGTGATTATCCAAGATGAAGGTGAGAAAAATCATTGTACTTCCTATTCTATGTTTTTTTTTTTTTTTAATCTTTTGGTGTACTTGTTCATTAAATCTTCCTTCTATCTCCTTTACGTTAGGATTTTTTTCTTATGTTATTATTTTTACTTTCACTTATGTATATATGTAATATATAGTAAGGGTAAGTATTGCAATCCTGAAAAGTTTCGAATCTCAGTTTTCAACAGAAATACATGTTTTAAGGTCCCCTGAGTCCAAATAACCAAGTGTCGCAAAATGGTCTGTGTGTGTGTTAACAGTCTAGCTCATAAACGAAAAGTAGTACGAAACTGATATTAAGTATTTTTTTTAAAGTATTTTATTAAAGTAGTACGAAACTGATATTAAGGATTTTTTTCTTATGTTATTATTTTTACTTTCACTTACGTATATATGTAATATATAGTAAGGGTAAGTATTGCGATCCTGAAAAGTTTCGAATCTCAGTTTTCAACAGAAATACATGTTTTAAGGTCCCCTGAGTCCAAATAACCAAGTGTCGCAAAATGGTCTGTGTGTGTGTTAACAGTCTAGCTCATAAACGAAAAGTAGTACGAAACTGATATTAAGTATTTTTTTAAAAGTATTTTATTAAAGTAGTATGAAACTGATATTAAGGATTTTTTTCTTATGTTATTATTTTTACTTTCACTTACGTATATATGTAATATATAGTAAGGGTAAGTATTGCGATCCTGAAAAGTTTCGAATCTCAGTTTTCAACAGAAATACATGTTTTAAGGTCCCCTGAGTCCAAATAACCAAGTGTCGCAAAATGGTCTGTGTGTGTGTTAACAGTCTAGCTCATAATCGAAAAGTAGTACGAAACTGATATTAAGTATTTTTTTAAAGTATTTTATTAAAGTAGTACGAAACTGATATTAAGGATTTTTTTCTTATGTTATTATTTTTACTTTCACTTACATATATATGTAATATATAGTAAGGGTAAGTATTGCAATCCTGAAAAGTTTCGAATCTCAGTTTTCAACAGAAATACATGTTTTAAGGTCCCCTGAGTCCAAATAACCAAGTGTCGCAAAATGGTCTGTGTGTGTGTTAACAGTCTAGCTCATAAACGAAAAGTAGTACGAAACTGATATTAAGTATTTTTTTTAAAGTATTTTATTAAAGTAGTACGAAACTGATATTAAGGATTTTTTTCTTATGTTATTATTTTTACTTTCACTTACGTATATATGTAATATATAGTAAGGGTAAGTATTGCGATCCTGAAAAGTTTCGAATCTCAGTTTTCAACAGAAATACATGTTTTAAGGTCCCCTGAGTCCAAATAACCAAGTGTCGCAAAATGGTCTGTGTGTGTGTTAACAGTCTAGCTCATAAACGAAAAGTAGTACGAAACTGATATTAAGTATTTTTTTAAAAGTATTTTATTAAAGTAGTATGAAACTGATATTAAGGATTTTTTTCTTATGTTATTATTTTTACTTTCACTTATGTATATATGTAATATATAGTAAGGGTAAGTATTGCGATCCTGAAAAGTTTCGAATCTCAGTTTTCAACAGAAATACATGTTTTAAGGTCCCCTGAGTCCAAATAACCAAGTGTCGCAAAATGGTCTGTGTGTGTGTTAACAGTCTAGCTCATAATCGAAAAGTAGTACGAAACTGATATTAAGTATTTTTTTAAAGTATTTTATTAAAGTAGTACGAAACTGATATTAAGGATTTTTTTCTTATGTTATTATTTTTACTTTCACTTACATATATATGTAATATATAGTAAGGGTAAGTATTGCGATCCTGAAAAGTTTCGAATCTCAGTTTTCAACAGAAATACATGTTTTAAGGTCCCCTGAGTCCAAATAACCAAGTGTCGCAAAATGGTCTGTGTGTGTGTTAACAGTCTAGCTCATAAACGAAAAGTAGTACGAAACTGATATTAAGTATTTTTTTAAAAGTATTTTATTAAAGTAGTACGAAACTGATATTAAGGATTTTTTTCTTATGTTATTATTTTTACTTTCACTTACGTATATATGTAATATATAGTAAGGGTAAGTATTGCGTTTGTGAAAAGTTTCGAATCTCAGTTTTCAATAGAAATACATGTCCAAATAACCAAGTGTCCCAAAATGGTCTCTATGTGTGTTAACAGTCTAGCTCATAAACGAAAAGTAGTACGAAACTGATATTAAGTATTTAAGGTTTGTATATGAGCCGGATGTGATAGTAACTTTTTTGTTAAAATCGTCTAACCAGAAGTGCCACTTTATATAAATGCTGAAAAACATTTTTACAATTTTCTCAAAAACGGCTCAAACGATTTTGATTAAACTCGGTGTATCATTGTATAATTAAGTGGTCTTTAATATCATTTAGGTCTTATCCTCATTGATGTCACTTTACAGGGCTTAAATGGCCATTGTTCATGTATGTCTTCCTCTAAAGTATCTTTAATATGGTTTATTTTAAAAAGTTGATCATTTTGCATTATTCAGAGTTACAAAAAAATGCTACATATAACTTTTGAAAGAATTTGATAAGTTAATAAAGGTGGAAAAAAATAAAAATGCAGAAAAACCTGCGTTGCTATAGACTGTAGCGCCTGAACGAATGTACCGATTTCAATGAAACTTTGCTAAAGTCATTTTCTCGACACTCTTTAAATTTATCTATATAACATACTTCAACGGAAAGAAGTTGGAAAAAAATTTACGAGGGATGGTCAAATTAAATTCTGAATAACTCAAAAAGTATACACTTTTTTGTGGATATTGTGATAACATGTTTCAAAGGTTTTTAAATTTCCTAAAAAATGAAAGAAGTTTTGACAAAATCGAAGCACTATTAGTAGAGATATCGCGATTTTAAAATATTTTTGGTTTTTTAACCAAATGAGTCCAAACCGTCTAGCTCATAAACGAAAAGTAGACGGTACGAAACTGATATTAAGTATTTAAGGTTTGTATATGGGCCGGATGTGACAGTAACTTTTTCGTCAAAATCATCTAACCGGAAGTGCCACTTTATATAAACGCTGAAACACATTTTTATTTTTAAGCATTATTAAAGATTATAAAATATTTGTTGCTATGAACAAAACTTTGGTACAGTAAAGATTTTCCATCTTTTTTATTTAGTATCATTATTGGCCTTATAAAGTTAACGTCATAATAATTTAAAGATTACAGATTATTTTTAGCAATAGAAAAAAAATGTTAAAAACCTAAAAGTAGAATTAAAATCATTATCTATCCTGTTCCAATTTTTTAAAAATTAAATGTCTTGTTTAATTTTTTTTTTACATCACAAAACAAAAACCTATTTTAATGTTAACTATTTAATCGAAAAGAAAATGGTTGGTAGGGATTCTCAGTCAAAATACATAGTAATAATAAATAAATAATATTTATTTTGTGCTGACTTTTCAGTTCAAATTTTAAGCCTTTAATGATGAATTGGTCATGGTACTTGTGACTTAGCAATTATCAAATTCTTTCATATTTTATATTTAATTATCTTTTATATTAGAAATTAATGTGAAATAGTCAATTGTTTAAAAAAAAAATTAAAGGTACTTTATAGAGAAAGCTAATATTGAAAATTAGCCATTTAAGCCCTGAATGAGAACATCAATTAGAATAAAAACTACATTTCATTTAAAACTGCTTAATTTTACACTGATATAATGAATTTAATCAAAATCGTTGGAGCCATTGCCGAGAAAATTGTAAAAATGTGTTTAGTTCGTGATATAAAGTGCCACTTCCGGTCAGTCGATTTTGAATAAAATGTTACCATAACATCCCTAGTATATAAAATCCTTAAATATGCAATTTCACTTTTTCACGACTTTTCATTATGGAGCTACACTGTTAACACACACAGACCACTTTACGGGACTTGGTTATTTGGACCCAATAACCATAATAAGTATTTCCGTTGATAACTGAAATTCAAAAATTTTCACAATCACGATACTTTCCTGTACTATATATTTCATATATAGGTAAGTGAAAATAATAAAAAAAGAAACCTCGACAAGATTGCTGAGCTAAAATATCTCCTTTTAAAAGGAAAATATATAAAAAATGGTATATTGAATCTTAAACAGCTTAAAATTATTTAACATTTTTGTACAATTTAACATTTATTTCTAAACCTAACTGGAAGCGAACTATCAAGCTTCTTTAGTTGGCTTCTTAGCCAAGGAGAAATTTCATTAAGGGGAACATAGTCTACTGAAAATTAAAGTTTACTGCCATCATCAAATTATTTCATAGATCATATTTGTCCATTTTGCTACTAACAATGAAAGAGATACCTTAATTACTAAATTTCAGTTTTGTACGTATTTCCACTGAAAATTCAGGTTCAAAATTTTTCACAGTTGTAATACTATCTTTTAATATATATTTCATATACAATTGAATGCAAGTAAAATTACAGAAATAAAGCGAAGTGTCCTGATATTGCTATACTTACTCTTTATTGTTTTATGAACTTTAAAGTACTTATTAGATGTATCACTTATTCATTTTAAAAAGTTAAAAATATTTTTTTTTAAGTATGGTCATTCATTGCTTACAGATGCCAACAACAGTTGCCTTAAAGATGAGGAATCTTATCAATGCTATCATTGTGACTTCATATGTGCCACACGTCATCGGCTGAAAAGACATATGATAACGGTCCACATAGGTGAGAAGCCTCATCACTGTCCTTATAATGGGAGGGGGTCACCGTTTTCAATGAAACTTTTTTTGGTGATATTAGGTCGAAAAATATTAGACCCATGTCCGAGGGTTCTTGCCAATGCCAGAGCCGGGAAAAAAAATTTTATTATATTTTTATGTTAATGTTTTCTGACTTTGCTCCGAATGAATTTATAAGTTATTATCACTAATCATACCAAGACTTAATATATACCTATTTCTACCATAGCGGGTCAAATGACCCGACTTTACGTTTCATGCTTGAATGTATGAAATATGGATGTTAGGAAGGAAATAAAAATATAAATTAAATTTATTATGATAAAGCAAAAAATAAAAACTTTTAATTCATAGTTCATTGCATTTTTTACATATATATGTTTCCATTGTACATTTTCCACAAACATATTTTTTACATTTAGAGCAAATTTTGTTGGTTTTATTTTCTTTACAGTATCCTATTTGACATCTCATACGTCATACGGCTGTTCTCAATGAAAATATTCCAAATTGCAGATACCATAGCGAATTTATCTGTGTTCAAACGTTGGCTCTGCTGACTTTTTTTATCAAAACGAATAAATCTAAGAATTTCGGTAAAATCATTTCTGCTCATAGTTTCAGAAAAAATTTAGGCCCCCATATGTTATTCCACAAAAAGGAAATATTCAAATTATTTGCTCCATATGCAGCTCGAGCATATAAAATTGCAATAAATGCATCTAATTTTTTTTTAGATAAACTCCAATCGGAACCTAACACACTCTTTGCTTCTTCTATTGTGCATGTTCTTATATGGTTCATAATACAGTGGTCAATTATCAATGAAAATGCAGTACTAACTTTACCTTTCATTATATGGCGTTTTGCACATCCGCCTGCAGGCCTACTTCTTGCCTCAAAATGTTATCAAGTGGTGCTCTTCCAGGTGTGCCACCTACTTGCATTGTTGCCAAACAGATCCATCATACGCAACATTTTCTTCATTTATTTCTACTTCACTTTCTTCCGAACTTGTGAGTAATCTTATTCTTTTTCGGCCACTACATCATTCACAATATTTTCCTCTTCATAGTCAGTATCTGTAGAATCAAACTCATTTTTATTTGCGACCGATATATCTTCATTTTCAGAAAATTCATCTTCACTAATTTCTGAAAACTCTTCGCCAATATTATTCATATCTTCTAAGAACTTGTACTGTCTTGTTTGCTTCGACATTTTTCTGGGTAAAAAATGATCCTGTATTACTATAGCTATCAAAATAAAATATAAGCTAGGTACTTACCAAGACTTTCAATTTTTGCCACTTTTTCTTACACTAAAAAGCTATTTTCAATGTAAAATTTGATATTTTCTTGAAATTATTCTGAGCTATTTTCGTTGAACTACTTTACGCAACAGTCTTTGGAAGAATGTGCAACTTACTGACTACAAATATGACTAGATAATCTCATAAAACAAAAAAATTCTCTCCGGGTCAAATGACCTGTTGTGGTAGATATCGGTATACAACAAGGATTACTCAGAATAAACAAAACAAAACAAAAATATTTTTATAACTATACATTAATTACTTAGAAAAAGTCATGAAGTCAAATGTGCAAACGCAATAAAATTATACGTGCATTTTCAATGGAAAAGTTCAAAATGGGTCATTTGACCCGTTATGGTATGTTTAGTGTTAAATATAAATCAATTTGTTTTGTTTTTTTGTGTAAAATAAGAAAAACATATTGCTTATTGTATTAAACGAATTCTTATATAAAATAAATTACAAAAACCCGTAGACGCTTTCAGTAAATTAGGCCAAGTAAATTTTTATCATGAAAAAACTATTCAGATTCATTTTTAGGGTTCACTAAAACTATTAAATACGTATTTGTTTTGAAATAAAAAATATAAATCTTTGAACGTCATTTTATGGGAGGATTTTTTTTTTTTTTTATGCTCTTTACTTAAATATTCGCCTCCTAGGGTGCATTGGCAAGAACCCTCGGACATGGGTCTAATCTTTTTTGACTTAATAGTACCACCAAACTTTAATTGAAATCAGTGACCCTACGTCCGTAACCTCTCCTTGTTAGTATGATTATAAATTTGTTAAATTTCAAGATTTGAAAAATATATATAATGGCTCGCCATACAGGTTAAAGTCTTGTCAGTGTCCTTATTAGACATTAACATTAGTAAATTACTTTATCAACATTATTAATAATAATTTGAAAAATTAATATATTTAATTTACTTCAAATGATTTGTTTTATTTTAATTTGAGTGTGATGCTTTGCTGCTTTACAGGTACCAATAACAGTAAAGGAAAGGAATCCACACCTCATGATTTAAAAAGACATACAAAGACTCATCACACTGATAAAAGGCCTTTTCAATGTCATCTCTGTAATTATAAATCAGTACAACATAAAAATATGATAAAACATATAATGATGCAACATGAAGGTGAGAAGCCTTATCACTGTCCTCAGTGTGATTATAAATCTGTTACTCTCTATAATTTAAAAAGACATACAATGTCCCGCCACACACCTGAGAAGCTTCTCCACTGTCCTCACTGTGATTATAAATCAGTATTATTGAATAATGTAAAAAATCATATTATGTCCCGTCACACAGGTGAGAAGCCTCACCACTGCCCTCACTGTAATTATAAATCAGTAACATTGATAAGTATTAAACATCATATAATGACCCATCATACAGGTGAGAAGCCTCATCACTGTCCTCAATGTGATTATAAATCTACTACTTCTGGTCATTTGAAAAACCATATAATGGCCCGTCACACAGATGAGAAGCCTCATCAATGTCCTCACTGTGATTATAAATCACTAGCATCTAGAAGTATCAAATTTCATATAATGGCTCGTCATACAGGTGAGAAGCCTTATCAATGCTATCATTGTACTTATAGATCAGTTCAATATAGAGAATTGAAAATTCATATACTGACTCAACACACAGATAAAAAACCTCACCACTGTCCTCATTGTGACTTTAAATCATTATATATTGGAAATATAAAAAGTCATATAAAGGCCCGTCACACTGACGGGAAGCCTCATCAATGTCCTCAATGTAATTATAAATCTGCTATACCTAGTAATTTGAAAAGACATATAATAGCCCATCATACGGACGAAAAGCCTCATCGATGTACTCAATGTAATCACAAATCTCTTACACCTAGTCTTTTGAAAATACATATAATGGCTAGTCACACAGGAGAGAAGCCTCATCACTGTCCTCAATGCGACTTTAAATCGGTTTATTATGGAAGTTTGAAAAAACATATAATGATCCGTCACATACAAGAGAAGCCTCACCAATGTCCTGAGTGTGGCTTTAAATCTGTTACATCTGGTAATTTGAAAAGACATATAAAAGCCCGTCACACAGATGAGAAGCCCCATCACTGTCCTTATTGCGACTTTAAATCATCTCATAGTGGATGTGTGAAAAGACATATAGTGTCCCACCACAGAGGTCAGAAGAAGCCTCATTACTGTCCTCATTGTGATATGAAATTTGCTGCATCTGCTCAGTTGAAAAAACATATAGGGGCCTATCATGTAGGTGAGAAGCCTTATCATTGTTTTCACTGTGATTATAAATCTAAAACTGTTAACATGTTGAAAATACATTTATCAGCCTGCCACAGCGATGAGAAACGTCACCAATGTTCCTTCTGCGACTTTAAATCTTTTTCTTTTGATCATTTGAAAAAGCATACAATGGCCTGTCACACAGGAGAGAAGCCTCATCATTGTCCTCAATGTAACTTTAAATCTGTACATAAAGGAAGTGTGAAAAGACATGTAATGGCCTATCATACAGGTGAGAAGCCTTATCACTGTTCTCACTGTGATAAGAAGTTTGTTACATCTCATCAGTTGGAAATACATACAATGATCTCTCATACAGGGGAGAAACCTTATGATTGTTTTCACTGTGATAAGAAATTCGTTACAGCTTATGATTTGAAAAGACATTTAGGGGCCTCTCACACAGGTAACAAGAAGCCTTATCATTGTTTTTATTGTGATTATAAATCTGTCACATTTCAACAGTTGGAAATACATATAATGATCTATCATACAGGTGAGAATCCTTATCATTGTTTTCAGTGTGATAAGAAATTTGTTTCATCTAATCTGTTAAAAAGACATTTAGAGGCCTCTCATACAGGCAAGAAGCATTATCACTGTTTCCACTGTGATTATAAATCTGTTACATTTCAACGGTTGAAAAGACATATAACGGCCCATCACATAGTGGGATAAAATCCTAAAATGGGACATAAGATTTGAAGTTTTGTGTATTGTATTTTATTTTCTTGACAAATTTGATTTCTTTTTGTAAACAGATGATGGATGACCATTGAATGTATAAGAAACGATTATTTTAAAAATGTATCTAATGATGAAATTTAATTCTGAACTTGATGTCATGGAGAGAATAAATGAGTTTGAAATAGGCTTATCATTTATTCTAAATCATAGTCGTAAGCATAAGAAACCCAAAGAAATTGCAGTGGAAAATACTTATTGTGGCCCGTATATGTATGTTTTCTCATAAACAATAATACTCTAACACAGTAAAGAGATTACAATAATTTTACTTTTAGAGTTATAACTACAAGAATTTTCAGATCCTTTCTTAATGCCATTGAGGTAGTAATTAAGTAACATTTTCAGGTAAAAATATGTTAAATAATGTGTAATCCTGCATATATAATACTTTTATAATGTAAATAAAAACAGCAGTTTTATTTATGATTTCAAAAAATCTTGCATCCTGAAATGTACTGTGGCAAATAAAAAAAGTTTCTTTATAGCGTGATATACAATTCTATTGAATTGGTAATGTTTAATTCCTGAACATTGTGCGGTATAGGTGATATCCTACCTAAAATTACATTAAATATTTGAGAGCCAATAGACAAAAAGGAGATAGATTTATTTTCATTGTTGAGTTTTCTTAATCTCATATTAGCAAACAAAAATATTAATTCTTAGAATCTTGTTGAAACTTAAAACTAATTTACAGTAAAACACTCAAATGAATTTAAAAAATGTGTGCCTCGTTATTTAATTTTCAACATATTTTTAAAATACAGTTAAAGATTAGATTTATACCAGGAAAAAGTTTTACAATATTCATATAAGATGCTCATGAAAATATCCTTGAATGTGCAATATGATCTGTTCTCTCTCCCCATTTGCACTATTGTTTTGATATTATTCTTCACTTAATTCTCCAACGAATCCTTACAAAATCTTTATTTTTATTATTTTCTCTTAACTATTTATTCAGTGATAGATATTTGTACTATTTCATTTCTTAAATATTATTATATTTTTTGAAAAAAATTAATAGTAATGCGACAAATATTAAAATAAGTTATAATTATTTAATGAAAGTTTACTTATTAAATAAAAATAAAATATTGACTGTTAAGCTCGCTCTCAGTTTAAAGCAAACTTCGGATGAAGCCTAACTATTATTTAAATTAAGTCAATTGTGATTTAAAAGAAAGTGAGCTGTATAACTTGAACATTTATTTTGAAACATTTACACCTATTAATAATGAAACATAAAAATAAAATGAAATCAATTTTACACTTGTTGCAATAGATAAAATAAAATAATAACTTCTAAAATGAAAATAAAGATAAGCTGAGTACAATTCTGATAAAAACAATTATGAAATATTTAATAAAATATTTCGATGTTCGATTATGGAAATTATATGTAAATGGCCCAAAATTACAATAACTAAACAAACATGTCAATAGTCCTAGAATACAATTTATATAGAACAAAAAAAATAAAAGTAGTACAACGTCATGTGGTCTCAAGTAAAAGTGGACAAACCGTTGGTACTCCAATCCTTCTACAGGTAGATTTTTCATGAGAGCTCATATAATCAAACCGCAAGTGGGCAGCTGCGAGCACCACCAGAGAAGTAGGTCTCTTCAAAGGTGGACTGTAGTGGGCAGCACTGGGCTTAAGACTTGTTTATAGCCAAGTTTACAATCCATAACATTTAAATATAAACTATTGACCAGTCTATTGAATATAAAAAAGATAAGCTATGGGTCTATGAATATATATATATATATATATATATATATATATATATATATATATATAATTATTAATTGGTTTCATTTTATGAGACAATCCAAAATAACAATTAGCCAAATTATTGTTAAAAATAAAATAAATTAACGCTGTGGCCTTAACATTGACAGTTTGGTGGGACGTATATTTAATTCATTTTTAACAATAATTTGGCTAATTGTTATTTTGGATTGCCTCATAAAATTAAACCAATGAATAATTATATATATATATATATATATTTATATATTCGTAGGCCCATTGCTTATCTCCTTTATATTCAACTAGTAGGCCCCTGCGAAACATTCGCACAGCATATAGTTATCAAATGCCAAATTAATAAGAAAATAAAAAAATGCAACTTATCAAAAGATTAAGACATCAAATGTTACTTTATCGATAAATATAATCGACATAGGGAACAAAAATTAATTTAAATCTTCATTTTTGTTTGAAACCAACATGTTTACAAATTTCAGTAAGCTGTATCTTTGCTAAAAATTGTCCGATTGCGATGATTTTTTTTTTTTTTATTCTCCATTTGTAAGGAATTTAGTAATCTTTTACATAATCATGGGCATAACCAAGGGAAAAGTGTGTAATTTTTCAGTTATTCGCAAATAAAGTTTATTTTTTTTCATAACTTGTTTGCCTGAATTTTCTGGGTGATTGGACTATTTTGCCAGCCTGGAGTTGTTCTCGGAAGCCTTCAAAATTGGTGGCCCAATCTTGAGATTTGGTGAAGAATTAACTATGATATGGCTTGCCGATCAAAAACACCATCGATAAATAATATAAACCCCTCTCTCGATCATAGAGACCTCAAGTCGACGAAATGAGACATGTATTCAATGACAGTACTACACTTAATGTAAGGTTGTGTGCATGCTAATCCTGTGCATTGCATTATCTCGAAAATAGTACGTTTTGGGCTTAAAAACGCAGGATCCGATAGTTCCGGAGGAACTATCCGGGTCTTGCTGTACGCATCAAAATCTTCTAGATCCAATTTGTCCCGTATCGATCTACAGACCTACCACCGTTCCAGTATTGAAGCCTAGCAAAATGTCTGTATCAACTTTATTTATTTTAGAAAAAAAAAAAAAAAAAAGTGGAGAATACGATTCGCTAACCTCCCGTGAAATTCTGAATCCAACGGTACCCCATTCATTGTATTTCAGCATGGCACGAGCTTATATTTGTTACAAAACCTATTTCGAGCCTTACTGTAATAATATATATGGGGATAGACTGGTCAATAGTTTATATTTAAATGATAAGGATTGTAGCCCTAGCTATAAACAAGTCCTTTATCATATTTAGAATGGGGTGCATGCTCCAAAAATAAATCTCATTAGTTTTCATATGTCCAACTAGTGTTATGGTAAATGTTTTGAAAAAATAAAAAGACAGGTAATTTGGTTGAGAGTATTTGGACATCATATGTTTAAAAACTTTTGTCTCGAGTCGCTTCGGTTCAAATCCAGCCTGGTTGGGGTGAAATTTATTTTATGGTAAACCCACAGAAAGGATGTTGCCCATACCCTTCATACAGTAGAAATTTAAAAATGTTGAAATATGCAAAAAAACATTTAAAAAAAACAGGCGGTATAAATTTCAAAGCATACTTTGCTCTTAAATATTCATGTGCGTGAGAAAGAAAATGGCTTTTCGGGATAAATGGTGAAGGATGAAGGGAATGGTTAGAGCAAAGCCATGAGCTTTTTTTGTTTTAAAGTCTGTTGATTTCCTTGTAAATGTCTTTAGGTTAAAATACTGGCAGAGGTGGTGATAAGGTTTGCGGATTTGACAAATCTTGAATCTCGATAGTGAGTGTATTATTTGTCTCAAATACCTGAGCAAGATGTTTTGCAAATTCGTTAGCTTTTTCATCGCCTGTTATGCCTCAGGTATTGTCTGTATGTCGGAGAGGATATTGAACATCTTTTGTCTCTATATTGATCCATTTTTATTGTTCATTGAATTTAGGTAGTTACTTAGTCTGTTTTTGAGTGCTGACAGTTCTTGTTAAAAGTTTTCAAGTCTGTTTTTTTTTTTTTTTTTTTTTTTTTGTATTATAACAATCTGTCTGTTGGACATTGGTTATAGTGAGGTAGGATGACATTCACACCATATGTACAAAAAAATAAAATAAATAGAACAAAATAATAATCAAAAGTATATACAATAGACAATAAAATAAAATAACCTAAAAAATAAGAAAATTAAAACTAAGGAAAAAAAAAAAACACATGCATACCTATATACAATCAGGCGAGGGAACTCCAGGAGAACCCTGCGCTACTCTCCCAACCGCGTCACTGGTACTAAAGCCAGCGGAGATTGGTCGAGAGCACTTTAGCCACATACACACATGTCTTGAGTGAAGAATCTGGCCATTGCCAGAACTCCAATTTATATAATCTACAAAAGGTCGCGAGGCCACTGCCGTTTCAACCTTCTTGGAGGATTATAGGGATGGGAGATGCTTGATAGGGATTGTGCAAGAGGATTTGGGTGGTAAGTAAGGTTCTGGTGAAATTTGGAGAATTTTTCTGGGATAAGGTCTAGGACAAATGGGATGTTAAGGTCATGATGTAGGGTTTTGTTGGATACATAGAAAGGAGCATCGACTATTGTTCGAAGGACTTTAGACTGGAAGGATTGGATGCGCTTGATGTTAGAAAATTTTGCTGATCCCCACAGTTCTAGTCCGTAAGTCCAAATAGGTTTCAGTATTGTCTTGTAGATCAGTAGCTTGTTTTCAATGGAAAGTTTAGATTTTCTGCTTAGTAGTCGGTATAGTTGGCCGTATCGTCGGCCAAGTCTGTTAAGAGCTGTTTTGTGCGATGGGTATCTCTAGTTCTTTGTCATGGAGCTCTGGTTCTGAGTTTTTCTTTTACGAGATTGTGAATAGGCTGAGGAAGAATCAGTTTTGGTTACCCAGTGAGAACTTACTGTTGGCCCAAAGTAGGGAAATTGTTTTTACTCAGGGTTGACCAACATGCGTTTAATAACAATGTGCCTAACATTAATTTTTCATTCCACCCAACCATCTGCCAACCAAACTAATTCAATAGCATTACCATTGTTATATAATATGCACAATAAATAAATTATTATTTACAGTTCATGTGTCTCTTCAATAAAAGGGAATCAAATGAGCAACACATCATTATATTTTTTTGATTCATAATATATAAAAAAATAAATATATTTACTATACAAATAACGCAACAGAGCTGCATGCAGAAAAATGGAAAGAAATAGTCCAATATAGGCAGAGATGGAGCAGGCTTGTAACACCATAGAAGATCTACATGGTCTGTTATGCCAACAGAAAAAAAAAACTATATAAATAACAATTAAAAAATAGTTACAACATTTTATATGGCTGTTTTCTAAGCATCTATGGTGTAAAAACATTAATTTGAATGCTAAATCCTTATAATTAAAACAGTCATTATAAATATGTTATATTATTTTAATTGGTATCAAAAATTAACTAAAACAAATCCATACAAAATGAACTCAGTAGGGAAGTCAAAATGAAAACAACAGTGTAACCTCATTTTTTTTTTTTATTATTTTAATGGAATTTACAACTGTATTACATAGAGAATACAATAAGTAAATGTGAAATTGGTAACATGGCATGTACAACATGAAGAGAAACTACCCATTGGTAGAACTCAAATTGTAACATC